CCCATATGTTGTAAGTTGTCTTCAGAACTGTTGTGGCCAAGGATGTCATCAAAGTGAACAACCACAAACTTTATAATGTAAGCCTGAAACACCTGATTCAAACTCGAGAAAATGTTAGGTGCATTGGACAGTAAAAATAGCATGAAAGTCCACTCGTACAAATATCTTTGGAGTTGAAGGCGGCCTTCCATTCATTCCCCGACCTCATTCTGGCCTGACGATATATGCTATGCGGATCAATCTTGGAAAAAACTACAACCCCATATAACTGATCCAGTTGGTCTTCCAAGCAAGGGAGAGAACTGATATTTGATGGTGATTTTGTTGATAGCTCAACTATTGATGCACATTCTCCACGAGTTGTCCTTGGGCACCATCAGCACGGGAATAGCACAAGAGCTAGAACTCTCACCAATCCCCTAGTAATGAGATCTTGCACTTGCCTCTGTAACTCCTCATACTCCGCTGGCCTCAATCTGTATGAAAGCATGTTTGGCAGCATTGATCTTGAGATAAGATCTATGGCATGTTGGATATCCCTAAGTGGCGGTAGTCCCTTCAACAAGTTGTCGATCATCGCCTTCTGAAACTCAGCTAACAGTGGTTGTACCATCTCCGATAAATCTATCTCCTCATTTCCCTCTTAAAACGACTAAAGCCAATGTCACTAGGGCATCTCAAACTTACTGCAGAAAAGTGGAGCGTTGGACCTCAAGCTTATCCCTTACTAGTGTAGGGCTTTTCCAAAATCCTTGATGGGCAAGAAAATTGTGTTTCCCCACCTTCGTGAACACATAATTGTTCTTGAACCCGGCAAGTTACGTCTTGCAATAAAACCGCCACGGTCTCCCGAACAGGATGTGACAGGCAATCATGGGCACCACATCACACCACACCTAGTCTTATAGTTAGTCTACAATAGAAATCTCTACCAAGCATTGTTGATCTGCTCATATCTCATTCCCTTTCTTCAAACACGTCAGATTATAGAGATGGGATATTTATGTGTAGTCAATCCAACTCCACCATGAAAGCAGAAACCATGTTCTCACAACTTCCTCTATCAATAATGAGGCTGCAAACTTTCTCTTTCACCGTACAACTATTGCGGAAGATAGTGTGCCTAAAACACGAGTGATCCCTCTATGGTTTTGTCTGCAAAACTCTTCTTACCACTAGTATTTCCCCTTCATCTCCCTAGAGTTGATATTATTCCCCTTGATTCCCCAAAGTTTTTTCATCACTCACTTCCCCTATGACACTGCTTGATGAATGACACCTCTCTGCTCGTTAAGCAGCTGGATGTGATATTGCCATATATGTGGCATCTAAGATTTTTTGGGCTAGAATCGTATCGAGTGTGTTGTACTTCTCTGGTTTCTTCCCACTTTGATCTGCCTTGTCAATTTTTTGTCCAGTCCTTCCCACTCCCCTGCTCTTGTTGGGGCTTCTAAATATAGGGAGATGTTTAAATTGAGGTGGGTACCTTAGCTGTTTTTGCTATCTCTCCACTTTCGGCGCTAAGATCTGCACGTCCTATCCTTTCCTGTCTCTACCTCTTCAAGTTTTCCAACCACAAGGAGTCATTTTTCATCAACTTAATATTAGCAAGCTTCAATTTTCTATCATCGCGCACATCCTTGAACTCGAAGATCCGCTCAACTATCTGTATCCATTTGAGGAAATCATCGTAACCCATACTCTAATCGGAAGCCAGTAAGTCCACCTTAACTCCCAGATCTCGGTGCCCTCCAACAGGCGCTTCCTCTCTCGGTCTCCTCTGATACTGAATTCCAAAAATGTCCTCATCAATTCTCCTCTTCATGGAAGTCATCCCTACAAAAGGTTCAGTTGCTCTTTTGGCGCTCCCCGGATATCACTGTTATAGTCGGTAACCTCACTCATGGTCCTTTTCCTCAATGACCTCAAGAGCCTTTGTAGCTCTTAGTGTAGTATCCTCTCTAAGTCTCACATGGTAATATCATGATTAGGTTCCGACAATTGACTTCTCGGCAATGTGGTTAGAGCTTAAGAGTGGATAGGGGGGGTTTTTTTTTTTTTTTTTTTTGCGGGGAGGGGGGGCTACAAGTTTGGGCATGACAGATGCTAAAAACCTTAGGATGTTATTAATATTAGGCTAGCTCCAATACATAATGATACACGACGGTGGAACAATCATTGCAAACAATAAACTGAAATAGGAAATAACAAGACACACAACATGATCCCAACTAAGGCCAGAGGTTAAAGGTTAAAGGTGGTGGTGCTCCAATCGAGAAGGGAAACTACGACATATGGGAGGGGTTGGATGGCTGAAAGGCATAAAAAAGGGGTTGCGGGTGGGTTGACAAGCGGCGGCGAGAAGTTAGCATGTAAGTATGGAGGATGGTTGAAACGGAGGTGATCGCAAGAGGGAGTAAGGGTTGGATGTTATTTGACGACAAGACAATGGCCTGGCAACTATCGGGGAGATAGAGGAAAGTGTGGTAGATGGCTGGTAGTTGTGAGGAGATGAGAAATGTGTTGAAAGCAGGCTGACGGCAGGATGGTAGAGATAGAAAACAAAGTGCAGGTTGGATGGAGGATCAAAGAGCAAGTTGGGGATTAATAGATATCACCTCGAGAGGAGTTACCGCCAGAGCACCTCAACTTCGGATATAGCCCTAAAACAGAAAACAAGATGCCAACGACTATCCTAACAAAAACAAAAATCAGATCTTCCTAACACAATCAAACAACATATAAATAGACTTAAGGTAAAGAGGAGAGGGGCATTGCCCAAACCTAATACAGGTCGAAGCGTGCTTCTTGTTGCATTCAGGGCGATTGACGCCCCGTATCATTTTATTTGGGCAAACTAATGCACTATGTCCAAAATTGTGGCAATTAACATACTTCATGGTTGTAAGGGATTTGAGAATGCTCATTAGCTCCATGTGCTCTCTATTCTCAACTAGTTTCTCATCAAGCGAGGTCAGCTTGAATGCTCCGTTGAGTTTACTCTTGTTGCTTGACCTTGAGATAGCGCTTTATCAGTCAAATATGGCGGTCACCCTGTGATGTTGTCTGGAGAACATGTAATGTCTATAAAGAACTAGTAGGTACTTGTGTTGCATCTCTCGTTTCATCCTAAACTAGGAAATGATTTTGTTTTTCCCATCCCACAACAATGCACTCTTCTTTAACTTGATTGCGGCTAACTTTACCACTATGTCTGATGGGGTGTTCGGTTGCTCAAATACACGTTTGAGTGTTCGATTAACTTGTTCGGATCTCTGTGTTTGTCAAAATATGACAAGTCACCGTGCACTCCAAAATTCTAGCTTCTCCTCTCATAATCAAATCTTTGGGGCATTGGCTCTTCATCAATGGAAACTGCTCTGTAAAAAGGATTCATTATCCTTTCAATTTGAGCAATCACCATTATAACTAAGGGTGACCCTTCCGGATTATCTCCTTTCGAAGACACAAGCCTCTGTTGCAGCTGGAGGATTTCCCGATGCATATATTCCATAGAAAGTTCTTGAACATCTCTTTGCGGATTCTTCACAAGCGGCATTGTGTCATTTCCTCCCAATCAGATTTTCGACAATTATCTCCTCAGTAGTGTGGTTAGGGTTTAGGTTTGAGGAGCTAGAAGAGAGTATATGGGATAATTTAGGGTTGGAAATAAAAAATTTGAATGGCTAATTTGAAATATGAACAATGGGAAGGCTTTTTGGGTGGATTTTGAGTTAGGTAGCGGTGAATTTTAATAACCGTAGGATAGGACTAGACTTAGGCTGACTTTGATACTAAATAATATCAAAATTAACCAAACAATAGAAAAATCAAATATTATTGCTGAATTTAAAGAAGGAAATACAAATCACACAAACGAAAATAGAAAATAGCAACAACACGAAACACAAATTCACACTGTCAATCCAGGGGTGGTGATGGTCGGTTACGGGGGTTGGAAGGGTGGTAAGGGGCTGGAATGATGGTATGGGCGTTGGTGGGCGGCAGTAGCAACATCAAGGGGGATTTTGGACTGAAGTTTAGGAGCGGCAGCAAGTACGGAGCGGCTGGACAGCAGGTAGGCAGGTAAAACCAGCAGCAGTTAGCCGTTTGAGCGACAGCAAGGTGGAATGAGGTTCTGGAAGGTAGTAGAAGGGTGAAAAACTGGCTATGGAAAGTGGGAACAGCAGCTAGGCTGCGGGGAGGTCGTTCAGGGTCGCTGGAACAGCAGCAAGGCGGCCAGGTGGATGGTTAGCGTCTGTGGGAAACGACAAAGGAAGTTGTTTTCTGGGCTGCTACAGCAGGAAAGGTAACGACGACAGCAAAAAGAGGGATGCAAAAGAAGGATAGGTCAGGATAATCATCACTACGGAAGCGAGATACAACAGAGCACCACTCTACCCTTAGATGCAAGCCTAGAAGGGAAAACCTGAGCCGCCATAGACGATCCCAAACAAACACACTAAAAGACTACGAATTCAAACCCTAACACCAACACCTACATAAGAAAGGAATAGAAAGAATAAACTTACTAAAATGGACAACAACAATGATAAAAAAAGAAAATGACGGCTGCTTCTCCCACCCCCACGGGATTTGTATGCCGCGCTACCCGCATACCCGGGACCACGAGATCCCACTCCCACATCGTGTATATCTATATGTATGTACATGTCTGCATACGTATACGTCTACATATTTCTATGTTTGTCTATGTATTATGCGTGTGTGTGTGTGTGTGTGTGTGTGTGTGTGTACGTACATGTGTGTTCACGACTATGTGCATATATGTATGTGTACATATATTTACGTTTATGTTTGTTTAAGTATATCCATAATTAAAGTTTCGTTGGGATCACATTATGAAAGCTGCCACTCTAGTAAATTTCTTCCTCTGCCTGTGGTATTTTCCGTCTAGGTTTTCATATAAAATTATCGGTATGGTTTGTCTCTTTATTATTAACCTTTTCAAATGAACAAGAGGTTTGAGCATTCCTTACCACTGAGATATGCCTGGAGCTGTTCAGGAGAATCACGCTGAGGATCGATAGTGATATAAACAGGCTTAACCTTTAGGTTATGTTGACACTCTGATCAAGAAAAAAAAAAAGAAAGGTAAGCAAGCCATTCAATGCAGTGAAAACATCGGGAACTACTAGTTAGATTGAATTGCGGCGCTGAGGTAATTTTAATTGGACTTCAAGACTTGTGAATGGCAAATGATAGCAAGCAAAAGTAAGTAATTTTGGGAAAACAGCTTTTCATTCTGTGAATTATTTCGTAAAATTTAAGCAGAATAAAAATCATATGGATTATTGAAAAGCTCACAAAGCAGAAAGCATACAAAAGACAGTAGAAGACAAAACTTTGGGGAAAAGTTCTTTTTATTATTCACTTATAGGGTACATATATATATATATAGAAATCAATCCAACCTAATTTACAAACTTACCAAATATATGTAAGTCTAAATTTGGAAAGAAAATAATTATGAAATAAAATATAAAAAAATAAAAATAGAAAAGCAATAAAACTAAAAAAGGTGTTTACAAAGATATCCCTAATAAAATCTTTCCATGATCTTGTGAAGCAGTCGGCTGGACCACCATGGAGAGAAGCCAAACTTCTCAACTTTCCACACCCCCTCTCAAGTTGGTTGTAGATGTTGTAGAGATCAAGCTTGGTATCGATCTATGAGAAAATGCTTAAAGAAAGAGTTTTGGTGAAGACATCAAAAACTTTTTGGAGTCAGCATATAGCCTAGTTTTATAATTCCACCATTAACCTGTTTAGATATAAAGTTTCTATCAATTTCAATATGTTTGGTCCTGTCATGATGCACTGAATTCTTGCCAATACTGATGGCTACTTAACTATCAAAGAAAATTTGTATATGCCTATTGGAGGCACACTCGAATTCCATTAATAATTTCTAAATCTATATCCCTTCACAGATTCCTAAGATGAGTACCCTATAATCTGATTCAGCACTACTTCTAGACATAACACTTCTTTCTTACTTCTCCATATAACCATATTTCCACATACAGAGGAGCAATAACCTATAATTGACAATCTGTCAGTGAGTTCCCCAGCACAACTTACATCAGTATAGACTTCTACCACTCTATTTCTGATTTTCTCAAAAATTAATCAATAATTAGAAGTATTTTGAAAAACCTCAAAATCATGTGCAACATCTCCAAATGCTCTTTATTTGGGTTATTAATGTGTCGGCTGACAACATTGATAGAATATGCAATATCTGGCCTCGTATGTGACAGATAGATAAGTTTTTCAACCACTCTTTGGTATATTTTCATATCCATAGATACAATTTCTTCTCTTCTATTAGACTTTTAGTTGGGATTAATTGGAGTATCCGCAAATTTGCATTCAATCATCCATGTCTCCTTTAGTAGATCTAAGATATATTTCCTCTGTGATTTAATGATGCCTTTCTTGGACCTTACTGCCTTCATATCTAGAAAATATCTCGTGGTTCTTATGTTCTTAATTTCAAACTCAGCGGCAAATATTTCTTTGATCATGAGAATCTCCCTTTCATCATGACCAGTAAGAATTATATCCCCAATTACCATCAGTGCAGTTATCTGGAAAATATACATTAGATCTCATAGTTTTAGCAAAACTTTCAAACCACACTATTGATGATTGCTTAAACCCATAGAGAGACTTCCTGAATTTGCATGCTAGATGTTTGTTGGACTCATTTCTCAATTTCTGATGGAATCTTCATATACATTTCTTCCAGATCCCCACTCAAGAAGGCATTTTTATGTCAAATTGATGCAGTCTTCATTCCTTTTTAACTACTACTAGAAGGGGAAATCTAATAGTATTTAGTTTGGCAATTGGTGCAAAAATATCTTAATAGTCAATATCATAGGCTTGAGTGAAAACTTTTGCAATAAGTCTGGCTTTGAATCTCTCAATAACCCAATCACCTTTGTATTTGGTGTTGAATACTCATTTGCATTCAACTGGTTTCTTATCATGCGAGAGTTCGGTTAGAATTTATGTCATTATGCTTTAGTGTTTGAATCTTCTCTTCAACTGTTTTTCTCCATTCTGGATTTTCAAAAGCTTTGTGAATGGATTTAGGAATATGCACACTATCAAGGTTAGAAACAAAAAACTTTGTCAGATGAGAATAGCTTCTCTAAGCTCTCCTGAATTGGATATCTAATGCACCTTTCCTTGTCACAAACATCAGAAAAAGAAGAAGATAACTCGGGAGTACTAGACTCCTGACCTAAAATGTCATGTTAATGTGGACTCGGGTTTTGGTTTGAGCAGTTTTGTCCTTGCAAGTTGTCACCCACCTGTTCAAGGTTTTTCTTCCTCCTTGTGTCTAGTAGTTCTTTGTTATGAACGTCAGGTTGGACAACCTTAACCAGGGTAGAATGACTAGTTGAAGTAGATGGTGCAACTGTCTAGATGTCATCAAGTGCATCCCAAAATTGATGTTTATCTGCACTGATTTGAGGCAGTACGATTGATTTTAAAAATATATGACATACATGAAGTTGTAGTAATTTCTGATATCAAGAAAGTAGCACGTATATGCCTTTTCAGTTGGAGGCATACCTAAGAAAAATACACAATAGATTTAGCGGTTTTAGGAATGAATGTGAACAAAAGATACACACCCAAAGTTTGTAAGCAGTATAGAAGAAGAGAAAGATTTAAAGCGATGATGGATAACCATCAAAGTATGAGGCGTTTTGAATTTAAGTACCTGATCAGGCATTTGATTGATAGGGTATATTGCAGTAAGAATTGCTTCCCCTCAAAAATATTTTTGAACTTGACGGGAAGTCATAATTGAGAGGTATCAATACATGAACACCCAAAGAAAATTCCACTTTCTGAAAGATAGAACCCAATGATGGAATTGAAATATTTCTTTGCATTATCAGTTCTGAGGATATAAATTTTGCATTAAAATTGATTTTGAATAATGTCATGAAAGGTTTGGAAGATTTGTGTTGTTTCATATATCTCATTAGAAATACTCTAAGTAATTCTAGTATGATCATCAATAAATGAGACAAACCATCTAGCCTCACTTAGGGTTTTCACTATTGAATATCCCCAAATATCATTGTAGACAATAGAAAAAGGGTGTGAGGATTTGTATTGGACTATGAGATAAGTTTTTTAGAGTGTTTGACAAGTGAAAAATCTCACAATGATAAGAACTAGGGTTTTATTGATAAAGAACTCAGGATGTAACTCTACAACATAACTAAAATTAGGATGACCCTGGTGATAATGTCATAACATGCATATTTTTCGATAGAAATAGCCTCAAGAGAATCAAAAATTTGAGATAAAAATAGAGGTAGGATCATTTGTGCTTAGAGAAAAATTTTTCTTTGACAGGTATGAGTCCCGATGCATTTCAAAACTACCAATCACCTTCCCTGACTCCATCACTCGAAGTTCACAATAATTTGTAAGGAATGTAGTTATACATTTCATATTATGAGTATGCTTACTGATTGAAAGTAAATTACAGACCAACCATGGAACACATAAAACAGAGGAAAGAGAAATATCCTAAGAGAGCTTCACATCACATTTTAGAACAATTTTTTAGCGTGATTCATCTGCAAGTATGACCATTCTAGATGTAGAAGCATCTTGATAATTGACTAAATTATTCATGCCTTCGATTATATGATCAGAGACTACTGAATCTATGATACAAGCTCTATTTCACCCATGATTAGCAAGATGGGAGAATGATGTATTACCTTGGTGCGTCACTAGATTGGTGTGATATTCAGAATTAACCTTCAGAGTATTGACAGTTGCTTATGCAGGTAGAGGAACGACCGTGTTGACCTCATTTTTAGTGAGGTCTTAGTCTCCTACTCTTAGAACCTAGGATCTAGCTTTAGGAGTCCTTATTGACCATCCTAGCGGACTAGTAATGGAGCCCACCTCCCGTAGAACTTCAAACTGCTTCTTAGCTCATTTTTGTGAAGAACTCGCATGAGTGGTTCCAAGCACTCAACTTCTAGTTACAAGGGCTAAGGACCAACATGTAGAGGGCCCGAAAATAAGTTCCTATAGGATCAAACGGCCTTAGATGAACCCATTTGTGACTCGATTACTCGTGAACGCCACAATTCATGCACTCACTGCACCGCACATGACTTTGACTTGATTTGACTCGCCCGTGGGCAAACTCGTCCGGACAACCCCAGGTGAAGAAACGGACCACACCAATGCGTCCGGAACGTCGACTTTAGCTAGGAAGGACACCCATATTGCTGTGGTTCCACACTCGCACGAACTGCACGAAAATCGACGCATTTTTTTAGCGGTATGCGGGCCCGGACTCAACTCATGTTCAACTCAGATTCGATTCAGGCTGGACTCGGGCTGAACAAAAGTTAAATTATTTTGAATTTCAAATTGTTAAATTTCAAGTAGGCATTTAATCTCATTCTAATTGAAAGTTAAAGACTTTCCTTTTGAATCTGTTTCATCAACAGAAACCAATTAAGCCCCCGCCAAAGTTTTAGCATAACGGCTATTGAGCCCGCTCCTTTAAACCTAAGCACGAAAATGGGTATTTCACTTTTAAAAAAGTGGTAATATTGTTATTTTTATGTGATATTAAACATTTGAGTATTGTGTGTGTAAATATGAAAATGTAGGTGTGGGATATGTTTGTTATGTAAATGCCCCAAAATAAAAAAATAATCCTTTCACTCTCGTCTTTTTACCACACTTTACTATTAAGTTCCTCAAGCTCAAAACTTATCTTTAAATGGTATGCAAACCAAACCTCACGGAATTCATTGCTAACCCAAAGCCAGCTAAAGAAGCATCGTCTAAGGCCCTATATATCGTTAGCATATAAAGGAGTTAAAAAGTAATGATTTTAAATCTGCATCAGATTTAAATTTTCATTATGAGTTATCAAGAAAACAAATTTTGCAATAAAAATTAAAATATATCCTAATGCTAATAACAATTTTTTTAATCTTATAATCACCTATTTTAAACCTTGTAACCATATTCACTAAACTAATGTGTTGAACTCCAAACA